TATATACAGGGGGGGTGGTGGTGGGGGGGTCTCTATATGTGGTGGGTGATGGTGGGGGGGATGCAGTGACATGTTAATCTCTGTATGAGGCACAGCTGACCCCCCCCCCTCCCCCCCATACTGTGTGAACTACAATTCCCATGAAGCCCAGCCAGGATAAAGGCCGCCGAGCATCATGGGAGATGTAGTTCCGCGCTGTTACCTATTCTGGGCCTCCAGCCCCCACAGCCGGATCTGCCGGTCATACTGCGCCGCCTCCTCCTCGCTGATCACCGCCTCCTCCACCATGCTGCCCGCCGCCACTGCCGCCCGCACCGAATGAATGGGGGGAGGGGCCACGCTCACCCCGCCCCTTCCGCTCGGAAACCCGCCGTCTGGGCCACGTGACGTCAGTCTGCGCGCTGATTGGACAACGAGCTCTCTCCTTCAGCAACCCGTGTGGGGCACGTGGTGTGTGTGGGGGGAGGGGGCGGGGTGATAATGCCCACAGTAATGGCTGCCATGCCAACATTATTATTATTATTATTATTAATTATTAATATTAATTATTATTATTATTGTTATTATTATTGCTATTATTAATATTATTATTATTATTCAAATTATTATTATTGTTATTATTAATATTATATTATTATTATTATTATTATTATTATTATTATTTAAAAAGCGCAAACATACACCCTAGTGCTGTAAAAACACAGAGATATCCCACAGACCTCAGTGGCCTTAATCCTTCCCTAATTTACTGAAAATAATGAATTCAGATTTAACTACAGTGCTGCGGAATTTGTTGGCGCTATATAAATAATAAAATAATAATAACTAGAAAAGCTACAATTTCTGGGGAAATTGTGTGAAGTGTTCTTGCCTCCACCAGTAGTCTACAACTGGAGTGGGCGGAGTAACTGGGTGGAGTGGGCGGAGTAACTGTTATTTATTTATATAGTACATTTAATTGCAACGTTGTTGCCCAAAGTGCTTCACAGTTACATTAAACCATACATTTATAAAAACATTAGCAGGTGTACAAAAGGCCCTGTCTATGACATCACTTGCTGCTCCAGCCTGGAACAGGTCAGAGTATTTTGGCGGTTGCCATCTTCGGTCGTATTCTAAAAAATCCTACAGCGAAGAGCTTTATATTGTGAGAATCACAAGACCCAGACCTACATTGTGATGCATAGTATGTCTCTGAAATATTAACAATGAAGGCACAGTCACAGTTTAGAAATTGCCCTACAAATTTAAGCTGGCTGGAGTGGAGTTTCAATGAATGTCAATGGACGGCGTGAGTTGCAAACAAATGGTCATTTCGTGAAAGCTATCAGGACTATGGCTTAGCCGTGTACATGTTTAGTGGCAGCAGGGATAGCTGAACGTTTTGAAATAAGATTTGTGTAGGTGGGCTTGAAAATGACGGAGTGGTGGCAGTTAAGAAATCATGTCCTGATTTTTCAGCTTTTGCCAGCTCCCGCTCTAGTTTTGACCAATTTCGCCACAAGAACGACGATATTCCGTGAACCATTCGGCAAACGTTCCACAAAGTAATAGCACACGAATCAGGAACAATCCGCACGTTTCGGTATATTACGGCCTATGTAGTGTAAAAACTGTGGGAGGAGTTAGGGTGGTAAATTTGGCTATAATAAGAATAAGAATAATATATATGTGAAATAACAGTAAGTGGTCTTGCTATGCAAGAACACTTAATTACAGGAGAGGCGCAGGTTACTAGAGACCCCATGAATTCTCCGTATACAGAGAGCCAAGAATCACGGCTCCTGGACCCCGAGTCTCACAGCAGCTTGGGGTCCAAGAAATGTCAATCTCAGCGCTCACAAATTATCGGCAATTTATATCGTCTCTTGGGGTCCAAGAAATGTAAATATCAGCGGTCACAAATTATCGGCAATTTATATCGTCTCTTGGGGTCCAAGAAATTTCAATCTCAGCGGTCACAATTTATCGGGAATTTATATCGTCTCTTGGGGACTAAGTAGTTACTGACATGGTTTCTGTTAGCACTCCTTTAAGACAAAAGTCTGATTAAAGGGAAATCGTTACTCCTGAGAATGTTTATATGCTGTTTACTTAATTTCCTGTAAATAACAAAAATGTGTTTGAGGTCTGAAAAATACAATTAAATATAGATATCCACTATTGACCTCTATCCTGGAACTGAACACCTCCATCTTAGCTCCCTGTCACTCATTGTTATAAACTCCGCCTCCACCTGGCAGTCAGTATAGCGAGAGCCACCTCCATCTTAGCTCCCTGTCAATCATTGTTATAAGCTCCGCCCTTTACACCTGGCAGTCAGTATAGCGAGAGCCACCTCTATCTTAGCTCCCTGTCAATCATTGTTATAAGCTCCGCCCTTTACACCTGTTAGTCAGCACAGAGAGAGCCACCTCCATCTTAGCTCCCTGTCAGTCATTGTTATAAGCTCCGCCCTTTACACCTGGCAGTCAGTATAGAGAGAGCCGCCTCCATCTTAGCTCCCTGTCAATCATTGTTATAAGCTCAGCCCTTTACACCTGGCAGTCAGTATAGAGAGAGCCGCCTCCATCTTAGCTCCCTGTCAATCATTGTTATAAGCTCCGCCCTTTACACCTGGCAGTCAGTATAGAGAGAGCAGCCTCCATCTTAGCTCCCTGTCAATCATTGTTATAAGCTCCGCCCTTTACACCTGGCAGTCAGCATAGAGAGAGCCGCCTCCATCTTAGCTCCCTGTCAATCATTGTTATAAGCTCCGCCCTTTACACCTGGCAGTCAGTATAGAGAGAGCCGCCTCCATCTTAGCTCCCTGTCAATCATTGTTATAAGCTCCGCCCTTTACACCTGGCAGTCAGTATAGAGAGAGCCGCCTCCATCTTAGCTCCCTGTCAATCATTGTTATAAGCTCCGCCCTTTACACCTGGCAGTCAGTATAGAGAGAGCCATCCTCCATCTAAGCTAGCCCTTTACACCTGGCAGTCCAGTCATCCTGTTATAAGCTCCGCCCTTTACACCTGGCAGTCAGTATAGAGAGAGCCGCCTCCATCTTAGCTCCCTGTCAGTCATTGTTATAAGCTCCGCCCACACCTGGCAGTCAGTATAGAGAGAGCCACCTCCATCTTAGCTCCCTGTCAATCATTGTTATAAGCTCCGCCCTTTACACCTGGCAGTCAGTATAGAGAGAGCCACCTCCATCTTAGCTCCCTGTCAATCATTGTTATAAGCTCCGCCCTTTACACCTGGCAGTCAGTATAGAGAGAGCCACCTCCATCTTAGCTCCCTGTCAATCATTGTTATAAGCTCCGCCCTTTACACCTGTTAGTCAGCACAGAGAGAGCCGCCTCCATCATAGCTCCCTGTCAATCATTGTTATAAGCTCCGCCCTTTACACCTGGCAGTCAGCATAGAGAGAGCCACCTCCATCTTAGCTCCCTGTCAATCATTGTTATAAGCTCCGCCCTTTACACCTGGCAGTCAGTATAGAGAGAGCCACCTCCATCTTAGCTCCCTGTCAATCATTGTTATAAGCTCCGTCCTTTACACCTGGCAGTCAGTATAGAGAGTCTTAGCTCCTGTCAGTCATTGTTATAAGCTCGTCCTTTACTTGGCAGTCAGTATAGAGGCCGCCTCCATCTTAGCTCCCTGTCAATCATTGTAATAAGCTCCGCCCACCTGGCAGTCAGTATAGAAGGCAGCCTCCATCTTAGCTCCCTGTCAATCATTGTTCCAGCTCCGCCCTTTACTACCCAGTCCTATAGAGAGAGCTCCACCTCCATCATTGTTATAAGCTCCTGCCTGGCAGTCAGTATAGAGGCAGCCTCAAGCTCCTGTCAATCTTGTTGTTATAAGCTCCGCCTTTTACACCTGGCAGTCAGTATAGAGAGAGCCACCTCCATCTTAGCTCCCTGTCAATCATTGTTATAAGCTCCTCCCTTTACACCTGGCAGTCAGTATAGAGAGAGCCGCCTCCATCTTAGCTCCCTGTCAATCATTGTTATAAGCTCCGCCCTTTACACCTGGCAGTCAGTATAGAGAGAGCCGCCTCCATCATAGCTCCCTGTCAGTCATTGTTATAAGCTCCGCCCTTTACACCTGGCAGTCAGTATAGAGAGAGCCACCTCCATCTTAGCTCCCTGTCAATCATTGTTATAAGCTCCGCCCTTTACACCTGGCAGTCAGCACAGAGAGAGCCGCCTCCATCTTAGCTCCCTGTCAATCATTGTTATAAGCTCCGCCCTTTACACCTGGCAGTCAGTATAGAGAGAGCCGCCTCCATCTTAGCTCCCTGTCAATCATTGTTATAAGCTCCGCCCTTTACACCTGGCACTCAGTATAGAGAGAGCCGCCTCCATCTTAGCTCCCTGTCAATCATTGTTATAAGCTCCGCCCTTTACACCTGGCAGTCAGTATAGAGAGAGCCGCCTCCATCTTAGCTCCCTGTCAATCATTGTTATAAGCTCCGCCCTTTACACCTGGCAGTCAGTATAGAGAGCCACCTCCATCTTAGCTCCCTGTCAATCATTGTTATAAGCTCCGCCCTTTACACCTGGCAGTCAGTATAGAGAGAGCCGCCTCCATCTTAGCTCCCTGTCAATCATTGTTATAAGCTCCGCCCTTTACACCTGGCAGTCAGTATAGAGAGCGCCACCTCCATCTTAGCTCCCTGTCATCATTGTTATAAGCTCCGCTCTTTGCATTATTGGGGGAAGTTTTATCAATTTGGTCCGTAATCAGTTTGTATTTATTAAATTGTTCTGAAAACAGTCTAAAAGGTTGTATTTTTTCTCTTATTAAGTCTGTTTTCACAGAAATTAACATTTCTGAGCAGAAAATTTAATTTGGAAAAAGATTATGGTGAAAAAAAGTAGAGTAAAACAGATGATTTTTCTGGGCGGGGGAAATAAGTGACAGAAAAACTGAGAATTTACTTGCATTTAAGAAAAAAATAAAGTGCATTAAATGATCGTGTTTAGGGCAAAAAAGTGGAATATTTTTTAAAAACTGAAAACTCCAGAATTAATAAAGTGTAGGGAAAAAGCCGTAAAATGTTCTGTGACACATTGATAAATCTCTGATTTTACCAGTTTCTCCTCCTCTAATGCTGTGCCGGACTGAACTAGATTGTGATGTAAAAAACAAAGAATGGTTAATACAAGTTATGGATGATTTTCAAGACTGTAGTTTTATTTAATATTGTAACTTCCAGAGGAGTGACACAGTGCTAGCAGTGTTCAATCTCTGTTTGCACCATACGTTGGCCTAACCTTTAAAATGAATTGTGGAATTTCTGACAATTCTCTCTTTACTAAATAATCCTGTTTCTATTACGACAGTGTTTACATTTATGTTCGGCATATTGTGTCTCTCCTATTACTTTACAGTAGCCTGGGAACCGGAGTCCTATAAACCATCCAGCTTTGTTCCCTTTAACATTCCTAAGCAGACAATTCATGACAAGTAGATCTGTCAGATTAGCTGGGTATTAGTTACTTGTCCTATTACCCTCACATAAAACATTATCTTCAGATATCATAATCCTTTTATCCTACTTAACCTTCCTGATTCTTTCCAGGTCTGCCTTCAGTTTGCTTAGCAAGCTATCTATCTATCTATCTATCTATTTATCTATCTATCTATCTATCCAATATCTATCTATCTATCTAACATCTATTTATCTATCTATCTATCTATCCAATATCTATCTATCTATCAATCTATCTATTTATCTATCCATCTATCTAACATCTATCTATCTATCTATTTATCTATCTATCTATCTATTTGTCTAACCATCTATCTATCTATCTATCTAACCATCTATCTATCTATCTATCTATCTATCTATCTATCCGTCTATCTATCTATCCGTCTATCTATCTATTTGTCTATCTATCTATCTATCTATCTATCTATCCGTCTGTCTATCCGTCTGTCTATCTATCTATCCGTCTATCCGTCTATCTATCTATCTATCTATCTATTTGTCTATCTATCTATCTATTTATCTATCTATCTATTATCTATCTATGTATCTATCTAACCATCTATCTATCTATCTATTTATCTATCTATTATCTAAGCTATCTATCCATTATCTATCTATCTATCTATCTATCTATCTTTCTATCTATCCATTATCTATCTATCCATTATCTACACTATCTATCTATCCTCTATCTATGCTATCTATCCATTTCTACGCTATCTATCTCAGCTATCTATCTGTCTATCTATCCATTATCTACGCTATCTATGCTTTCTATCTATTTTCTACGCTTCCTTTCTATCTATTATCTAAGCTATCTATCCATTATCTACACTATCTATCCATCCATCCATTATCTATCTATCTATCTATCCATCCATTATCTACACTATCTATCCATCCATTATCTAAGCTATCTATCTATCTATCTATCTAGCTATCCATTATCTATGCTATCTATCCATTATCTATGCTATCTATCCATCCATCCATTATCTACGCTATCTATCTATCCATTATCTACGCCATCTATCTATCTAACCATCCATCCATTATCTATGCTATCTATCTATCCATCCATTATCTACGCTATCTATCTATCCATTATCTACGCTATCTATCTATCCATCCATTCATTATCTACGCTATCTATCTATCCATCCATTATCTATCTATCTATCTATCTATCTATCTATCTATCTATCTATCTATCTATCTATCCATCCATTATCTACATTATCTATCCATCCATTATCTAAGCTATCTATCTATCTATCCATTATCTATGCTATCTATCTATCTATCCATCCATTATCTACGCTATCTATCTATCTATCCATTATCTACTCTATCTATCTATCCATCCATCCATTATCTATGCTATCTATCCATCCATCCATTATCTACGCTATCTATCCATCCATTATCTACGCTATCTATCTATCCATTATCTACGCTATCTATCCACCCATCCATTATCTATGCTATCTATCTATCCATCCATTATCTATGCTATCTATCCATTATCTACGCTATCTATCTATCTATCTATCCATCCATCCATTATCTACGCTATCTATCCATCCATCCATTATCTACGCTATCTATCCACCCATCCATTATCTACGCTATCTATCCATCCATCCATTATCTACGCTATCTATCCACCCATCCATTATCTACGCTATCTATCTATCAATCTATCCATTATCTACGCTATCTATCTATCTATCCATCCATCCATTATCTAAGCTATCTATCTACCTATCTATCCATTATCTACGCTATCTATCTATCTATCTATCCATCCATTATCTAAGCTATCTATATATCTATTTATCTATCTATCTATCATCTACACTATCTATCTATCTATCTATCCATCCATTATCTAAGCTATCTATCCATCCATTATCTATGCTATCTATCCATCCATCCATTATCTATGCTAGCTATCTATCTATCCATCCATTATCTACGCTATCTATCTATCCATTATCTACGCTATCTATCCATCCATCCATTATCTACACTATCTATCCATCCATCCATTATCTACGCCATCTATCTATCTATCTATCCATCCATCCATTATCTATGCTATCTATCTATCCATCCATTATCTACGCTATCTATCTATCCATTATCTACGCTATCTATCTATCCATCCATTCATTATCTATGCTATCTATCCATCCATTATCTACGCTATCTATCCATTATCTACGCTATCTATCATCCATCCATTATCTACGCTATCCATCCATCCATTATCTACGCTATCTATCCATTATCCATTATCTACGCTATCTATCCATCCATCCATTATCTACGCTATCCATTCATCCATTATCTACGCTATCCATCCATCCATTATCTACGCTATCTATCTATCTATCTATCTATCTATCGTCTACAGCCTGGCACTTCTGTGAACAGCCCGCTACGCCAGCTCTCTCAGCATATTGTTGCTGCCCAAAGTGCCATGCGACAGCAGAGTGCCGTTGTGGCGGTGCCGGGAGAGTCCCCGTTATTGTCAAACCTCTAGAAAAAATTGGGGACCAAAATAGGGACTGTCCCTTCTACATAGGGACACTTGGGAGGTACACACACACTCTTAAAACAGTTTTGATGCTGTTCCTTTATAAACAGTATGGAAAACCCTCTTCTTGGCAATTAGTTTGGGAGTAGCAGTGAAACAGTATAAAAAAACAAAACAAAAAAAAAAAACAATAAAAGACAAAAACTACCAGAACCACAATGCATTGGTAAGTGACAACGCTATAACCCCGCCCCCTCTGACGTTCCTCAGCCAGAGACTATGGAACCTACTCATAGGCCACGCCCTTTCCCAACCCAGGCAGGCGTGCCGTCCAATCAGAGCTTGCCATTTTCTGCCGCCTTCCCAACTGTCCGGAAACACCCGAAGCCGTGACGTGGCCACTCCGAGCGGCTTCGCTGGGGCTTTGTGACGTCACGCCTCCCCTCCCCGAGCCGCCTCCTCCCAGCCCTGCGCCGCCGCCATCTTGAGTCTGTTTCCTCCCTGCGCCACGAGCCACGGACTCAGCCCGCTCCCAGGGACTGGCACCCCAGGGCCCCCCCTCACAGTAACCCCCCCACAGTGACCCCCCTCCCACCACAGTGACCCCCCAATAACCCCCACCCCGCCCTGCCTGACGTGTTACTGTGAAAACAACAACAACAACAACAACAAGCAGTGGATTGGTAAACATTCCCAGTCTGGGCTCCATGGGGCCCCTGAGGGTGGAGGGCCCCTGATGGTGGAGGGCCCCCCATGCTTACTGTGACCCCCAATAACAGACACTAATGGTTAATGTGGCCATGGAAGGCACCAGGGTCCATGAATCTTCCCCAACATCAAACCATCAAAATGAACCCTTCCTCCTCCTCCCAGCAGACAGGTCGAGTACCCCCATCTCTCTCTTTATTGCATCCAATGACATGGCCCACCCTGCAGGCACAGGGCTGGGGGGTGAGGGCAGGGGGGAGAGGGGGGCTGGGGGGTGAGGGCAGTGGTGGGAGTGGGGGGTACCAGGTAAACTTGTCTATTATTATTATTATTTATATCTCAGCTCAATGTTCATCTCTCTCTTTATTTCATCCAATGACATGGCCCACCCTGCAGGCACAGGGCTGGGGGGAAAAGGGAGGCTGGGGGGTGAGGGCAGGAGGGGGTACCAGGTAAACTTGTCTATTATTATTATTTATATCTCAGCTCAATGTTCATCTCTCTCTTTATTTCATCCAATGACATGGCCCACCCTGCAGGCACAGGGCTGGGGGGAAAAGGGAGGCTGGGGGGTGAGGGCAGGAGGGGGTACCAGGTAAACTTGTCTATTATTATTATTTATATCTCAGCTCAATGTTCATCTCTCTCTTTATTTCATCCAATGACATGGCCCACCCTGCAGGCACAGGGCTGGGGGGAAAAGGGAGGCTGGGGGGTGAGGGCAGGAGGGGGTACCAGGTAAACTTGTCTATTATTATTATTTATATCTCAGCTCAATGTTCATCTCTCTCTTTATTTCATCCAATGACATGGCCCACCCTGCAGGCACAGGGCTGGGGGGAAAAGGGAGGCTGGGGGGTGAGGGCAGGAGGGGGTACCAGGTAAACTTGTCTATTATTATTTATATCTCAGCTCAATGTTCATCTCTCTCTTTATTTCATCCAATGACATGGTCCACCCTACTGGCACAGGGCTGGGGGGGGAGGGCAGGGGGGCTGGGCGGCTGGGGTGTACCAGGTAAACTTGTCAATTATTATTATTTATATCTCAGCTCAATGTTCATATCTCTTTATTTCATCCAATGACATGGCCCACCCTGCAGGCACAGGGCTGGAGGGGGAGGGGGGGTACCAGGTAAACTTGTCTATTATTATTTATATCTCAGCTCAATGTTCATATCTCTTTATTTCATCCAATAACATGGTCCCACCCTATTGGCACAGGGCTGGGAGGGGCACCAGGTAAACCTGTCAATTTTATATCTCACTTCAATGTTTGTATCTTATTATTTAAACATGACCATTCACCAGCATGACCATTGCATTCAGTACTTCTAACCTTCATTCCCTCAGGTTTCCAGTACAGGGAGAGAGCAGTATGATGCAAATAGTGTGAAATGTCTCATGCTTTACTTTTAGATGGGTTAAAAACACCAAGGGACCCTTGGTGGGTCTATTTCCATATTATACACAGGGTTAAACAGCTGCAAAAGGCAGTGGGACTGGGATCTCACTGAGTACAAGTGGGGGGCTTTAATGTGAATGAGAATATTGATGTGTTGTGCTCCTATGCAAATGTCCCCCTTTCTCTCCTGTGAATGCATGGAAAAACACAAACATTAATTGTTGTGGTGCTATAGGTGGTGACTGGTGAGCATAATTCGACAAGATTGAAAATGGCTGTTTTTTTTCCTTAAAATAAACTTTCTCCACCCTTCCCCCTATCCATGCCTTTTATACTGGACTGATGAATCAGCAAAATTGTCACTTGTTTTTGGACTGCAACTCTTATCATTCCCACCTTGGCTAGGAGTTACAGCTCAACAGCAGTACGCTATCAGGCTGCTAAGCCAATTCTTTTTGGCTGGAATACGCAAAAAGGCTTTTAAAAAAAAAAAATAATAATTTTAGTGTCAGCAGATCAAGAAAACATGTTCAATTTGCTAAATACAAGTTTAATCTGTTAAATTTATTTGCGAAAACCAAGCAGAAATCACTCCATACCCTCATGATGTTTGTTCTATTTTATTTTATCGCCTCTAGTTACATAATGGGTTTGAAACGCAGTGAGGGTGAAATAATTAACCAGTTTCTAATGCCATGTGACACATCAAACTGCATAATTTTGTTACTCTATTGACCAAAATGCATCGAATTCAATGAGATCCGTTTCAAGTTGCATAAATGTAGCATTATCCCAGGAATTGTTCCTCAAATTCTTAAACCTGGTAAACGTGCCTTTGGAAATGTCCTTTCCAGAAGGATTTACATTGGTTAATCTCCTACATTAAAGTAGCCACACTAAAAATCTTTCTTCTTTGTTTGACCGTTTTCATTTAATTACCTTCTTCATTTTGGCTGTATTGGAAATAAACCCATAAAGTATGTCATTTTTGTTGGTAAATATTTCCGAAGGATATTTTCTAATCAAAACTAAGTTTTTGTAGCAATGCAGCTTGTGAAGTGAATATTGCACGAAAAAGGAGACAAATTGTAGTGAATTGAAAACAGATGTCATGTCCAGGCCACAGCAGCGGATCTGGAAAAATGGTCCAAGTCTACTGTAGTTACAACTTCCGTTTTTCTTCTTGTTGTTATTAGCTGTGTAGTGAATAAACCCTAAATATAACTTGTAGCTTTTAGCTGCCAGGTGGGCATTTTTCGAGTTAACCTGATTCTCATGGACTAGGGCCATTTGTAGTATAGGACTGTGTAGTTGTGTATTCAAATTGTCAAAGTAAGGAATGTTTGTTGAAACATTATAGATTACATGTATTTGTAAATCGTGAGAACACTTAGTATCTTGTAAGTAAACTTTGTGTTATTTCCAATCACATGGCAGTTCTGCAATGGTACAAGTGGAGGAAAAATGATTGGATGTCATATGTTACTTGTAGTTTGTTTTAATGAACAGTTTACATTGTGTATCAGTGCTCTGTTTAGTTAGGCCTTTTCTGATGTCTCCACCTGTCTAATACCATTGGTTTAATCGTAATCTCAACAGACTTGGCAGTTATGTGTTTTTTTTTGTCTCTGTATACCAAATGCAGTGCTGTCGGGAGGTACATGAATAGTTCTCCCTGCTTTGCAAGATGTAGATATCTTATACTGGCAAAGGGGTGTATTCGGTAAACAGGGAATTGAAAAAACAATGCGTCTCTAAAGTGCTAGTAAAGGCACGAAATGCGACTTATCCCAGCTGTGAAATCCTGTAAAATCTGAATAAAGCATACTTTTTTTCTGGAGGAAATGTAGCTATCAAGCTATTTCATTGTAAAATATAGGCCAACAAAGAGGTGGGAAATTGAGGAATATTTTAATTATGGCCTGCAGTTTGTTACCCATGAAAATCTACACAACTCCTGGTTTAGGGAAGAAATCCTAAATTTTCCTGAAACCTATTTTATGATCAGCTGATTTCTTCTGGTGGTTTGTGATCTACATACAGTGGAGCAACACTATTCCTGTCCTGCCCAACAGCATGGAAACCATGGCAGAAGTGAGAGCATTAGCATTGTGGCTTGAAAAGGTGTTTATATTTGCGGTTGCAGTTTAACATTTATTCTTAATGACATCTGGGATTTTTGATCTCTTGAGGGAAATCTTCTAATCAAGATAAATGATTAGGGAACTATAATTCTCTCCCCCATCTCTGCACACATTGTTTAGGGCACCGATATGCTCTATGGAGTTATTATGGTGAAAAGCTTTTTTCAGAAAGCTTAGTTCGATGCAGTAAAGTAACATTTGTTTTGTAGGGTTGGATTGCAAACTTCAATAAGTACATTTTTGTGAGTGAGTTTAGTCAGCACCATGAATTATTGTAGATCAGTTGTATTTAGTACATTTTGAGGAAACCTTCTATATTGACAGTACAAACAAATGAGAATCTTGATAGATTTTTGCGCAATCTCCTTTTTGTGTTTTGTTTTTCTTTTAATAAATGTGTGCGTGTATTTATAGAGCTGAACACTTGCAGTAAATAGGACCATTTCAAAGTGTTTGTCTTCAAAGCAGCCCCCCCACCCAGTGTGGTTTCTGTAGCTGAAACCCAACTTCCCAGTCTAGTCGAGTATAAGAGGCCTGGTTACATGTTAGCAGTCTCCTTTTATAAAATGTCATTGCTCAGCGAGAAAACTGCTTCAACCGGCCAAGGATTTAGAGTTCAGTTGTAACCAGACCAATCCGTGCTGTGTACGCCTGTTCCTGTGTGTCTCGAGCGTCCGTGTGTTGCAATAGTTGAGTAACATGGGAGGGGTTTACTTGTTTTATTTTGTTTCTGTAAAATGGCTGCTTGGAAAGGGTGGGGGGGAGGTGGAATTGCAACCACTTCCCCCACAGAAAACTAATTGTATTACATAAACCCGCCTGCTAAATACATTTGAATAGGGCTCCCACATAGACTTTCTCCTTGAGACATAGATATATATATATATAAAAAATTTCCTTCCACCTTCTTTATTTTATAGCAGTTTGGCTGGTATGTTTCTGAAGCTGCCCTCCATTTTAACTCCAAAGCCTCGCCTCTCGGACCGACCTTTGAACCTGTCTTACTATTCATTTAGTTTGTGATCCTTCCCAACTTTCGTCCTAAGTCCCATTACACGGCAGGAATCCAAATCCCATTTTTATCCCCATTTCTTCTCTTGTTGGTCAAAGCCCACCCCACATTTTTTTTTTTTTTATGGTTTTTCTTCATTACGATCAGCCCCTTGAGTTTTATTTGAGACGATCAGAACAGGAAAAGCAGGAAGTTAAATGTTTTTTTTTTTTAATGTAATTTTTATGAATGTGACATCTCTCTGCAACATATCAACTTTTTCCTGTCTCACCTGTATCCTCATTTTGTAATGCAAGTCTTGAGACGGGATAGACCATGCTCGCTCGCTCTCATACTACATATCATAAATGCCTTTACTTCCAGATTTTAGTCCCCTTTCAGTGGCACAGAAAATATTACTGTGGACAATTACATATGTTCCTGAAAACACACAACTGTTTAATGCTGATGGCCAATAGCTGCAAAATGAAATTTTAGATTGGAAGCTTGTTTGTATGTCATGTGTTTTGTTAGAATTAAATACATGTCTAGTATACCTAGCACAACGCTGTGGTAAATGTTGGCAGCTTATAAATAATTGTAACATACAATTGGTCTGGCAGCCATACACTCAGCGCAAGTGTGGATGGTTGTTTTAAAGAAATATTAAATCTTGTCTTTGGTCCCTATGGCATTGATATAGTTTGGCAAACCCATGATTTTCCATCAAATTCTTAGTGTAACTTGTCTGGATCTTAAATGCTACCTAGGTTTATCAGCTTCCACGCTAGTGAGAAATTCTAAAACTAGGATGACTGGTTTAGTTTTTAAGGAAATTCCTGAACATATGATTTGCATGTTGATATATGTTCTTGCAGGGAATGTCTTACTGTAGCCCTCGTTTGGGATTTGTGACTCTTCAGGAAATATACCAAATGCTGCACATGGTAACATGTACAGTGCTCTTGGTACTGTGTAAAGTGCGTGCTGTCAGTATAGTGGGGACACAGTCCCCTCGGTTCCGTGTAAAGTGCGTGCTGTCAGTATATTAAGGGAGTTTAATGTGAAGCGGTTTCCGCACTGAAGAAACACGTTCTCCCTCTTGTACACAGTCTATTGGCATTCAGCTCCTGTAGTGTGTGTGTGCACAAAGCTTGCATTCAGGCTGACATGAGCCCCCCATTGTGGAGTGTAGTTCTCACATCTAGATTAATCCTGCTTTGTTCCAGGACAAACACATAGACGGTGATAGCAGATGGCACTCCCGCCTTCTTGCAGTGTATTGAATTATGTGAAACGTGCTCTAGAACTGCAGATAGTATACATTCCAATTTGGCTTCCAGAACATTGAGTTATGTGTAATTATTTACGTGAGAAACGTTATGGAGTTAATTTACAAATGTCTGGCTTTACATACAATAAGATCCCTGACAGAAATACTTTCCTGAGCAATAGCTGTGGCAAAAAAAATCTCTTTTGTGGCAGATTGTGTGTAAAAACAGGAGTAAAAGTGTTATTTACAAGACTTCATTGAACTTCTCTGCTGTCCTGTATGTGCCAATATCTGCTCTGTAGGTAAGGTGGCGGTGTGTCCGCTCTGTAGGTAAAGTGGCGGTGTGTCCGCTCTGTAGGTAAAGTGGCGGTGTGTCCGCTCTGTAGGTAAAGTGGCGGTGTGTCCGCTCTGTAGGTAAAGTGGCGGTGTGTCCGCTCTGTAGTTAAGGTGGCGGTGTGTCCGCTCTGTAGGTAAAGTGGCGGTGTGTCCGCTCTGTAGGTAAAGTGGCGGTGTGTCCGCTCTGTAGGTAAAGTGGCGGTGTGTCCGCTCTGTAGGTAAAGTGTTGGTGTGTCCGCTCTGTAGGTAAAGTGGCGGTGTGTCCGCTCTGTGGGTAAAGTGGCGGTGTGTCCGCTCTGTAGGTAAAGTGGCGGTGTGTCCGCTCTGTAGGTAAAGTGGCGGTGTGTCCGCTCTGTAGGTAAAGTGGCGGTGTGTCCGCTCTGTAGGTAAAGTGGCGGTGTGTCCGCTCTGTAGGTAAAGTGTTGGTGTGTCCGCTCTGTAGGTAAAGTGGCGGTGTGTCCGCTCTGTAGGTAAAGTGGCGGTGTGTCCGCTCTGTAGGTAAGGTGGCGGTGTGTCCGCTCTGTAGTTAAGGTGGCGGTGTGTCCGCTCTGTAGTTAAGGTGGCGGTGTGTCCGCTCTGTAGGTAAGGTGGCGTTGTGTCCGCTCTGTAGGTAAGGTGGCGGTGTGTCCGCTCTGTGGGTAAGGTGGCGGTGTGTCCGCTCTGTGGGTAAGGTGGCGGTGTGTCCGCTCTGTGGGTAAGGTGGCGGTGTGTTCGCTCTGTGGGTAAGGTGGCGGTGTGTTTGCTCTGTAGGTAAGGTGGCGGTGTGTCCGCTCTGTGGGTAAGGTGGCAAATTTGAGAGTAGAAGTTATACATGTGCTCTGTTTACATGTATGAAGACAGTTTGGTTATCTTTATACTAGAGGTGCAAGGACTGCTTAAGAACGGGGTAGCCAAAAAGGCAGATCCCCCAAATATTTTTAAATTTCAGCTTCCTTGATGCTTTGCAATTCTAGAGCATTCTAAAAGTATTATGGGAGTTGTAGTTCTGGGTATCTAGTTTTTGGGCACCCTTGGTGTAGACCATGCACCAATATTTATGCGTTTGCCTTTATGTCCTCTTTATTTTATCTGTTCATTCTTCTAGTGCCTTGAAGTGAGGTGCAAGCTGGCCAGAGGTGCTAGGATTTTAAATACTTTGACCTCCTTTTTTGGTGTCAAGAAAGCCATTTGTAACTGTGATTTCCTTCCTGAATTCTTTATAGGGTGAGAATACCACAGGGCAGCATTATTTGTTTCCCCTGTCTCCTATCTGTCTTCCTCATAGGGGTAACATCAGAGCTCCGAGATCCCCTAGGAAATCTTTCTTTCTGGCTTATCACCACATATAGAAGGTTTACCTGGTATGGAAGTGATATGTTTCCCATGTAGTTCTGTTAGATTTGCGGTATTTCTATGAAGTCTATATGAGTTGGGTAGAATGTGTTTGAAAGAGAGCACCACAAGGGACTGCAACTATGTAGCCTATTAGTTGGGTGGTTGCTGTGTGCTCCCGAATTAGGCAGAATGGGTTGTGAGAGACAATTTTAAGAATATTATTTATATTTGTGACAGGTGTTTGCCCGTAGGTAAATATATAGAAGTGTTAAATAAAAACAATCTCACTACACTGAATGATAGGCGAGCCGGTGCTTCTGTTTTGCTGGTTTTTAATTCAGCTGCACGTGCATTCAATAGGTGAGACATTCCCTGCAAAATGTACGCTGGGGCCCAGTCTGCATCATTTCGCTTTACAAAATGCAAGTAGATTTTGAAAATACCCAACATTAGCAATGGCAGTCCCGTCCCCCCCCCCTCCCCCAAAGTGCCAGTTCCTCTTAGTAGCAGCTGTGGTTATAGTCCTCTCGATCATGGCTTCCTCTGTACCCACCCTGCACTGTATGTGTATGAATTGTGGCCAAATACTTCCTCCTGTTATGAATCAGCACATTGCAAACTAGCCTTGTGACTAGGCTTTCAGTGAGGCCTTTGTACTATTGACAGGTTCGCTGTTTCTTGGAATTTGTTCTGTTCCTTTGTAGTGCATTGCTGGTAGCCTACCACTCATGACTTTAGATTTGAAACTCATTTGGGCAGAGTGCTGCTCTTCACCTACTGTTCCCATGTGTCAAGCATATTTTGTTAGAATTTAATGTTTGTTTGGTTTAGAGTTGCAGACTATGTTGGCGCTATATAAATAATTGGGGTGGTTTATGAAAGTCTGTACTGGCAATCGTTCAGCTCTCAGACAGTATCAGATTAGACATCAAGCTGCTGTAGGACTTCAAATCCCAAGATGTCTCCCAATGGTTTGTAATCTCCCTGTATTAAAGCATTATGTCCTTATGGTGTGCACCCCTGGGAATGATGGGATAGCCTGGCCTGAGCTTTTAATGTTGTGGTTTTGATGCTAAGACTTTCTAAAATGAAATGTTATGGGTTTAATTGTGAACCGATGGATCTCTCGCTGCTCTTTTACATTTTCCAGGTGTATACTTGGGAGAATTGTCAGTTCTCACCAGATAATGTAGGCGAATCCCTTAACTAGTAATTTCTCCTGCCATTAACACGGCAATCTCTCCGCTGAGATGCTAATGAATGCTCTTTGGGTTGCAAGTAATGCTGCTAATTAACCTCTCCAGTGCCAGCGGTGTAAACCACACTGTGTCAGTCTAGCACTGAAAGGGTGTAAATTGTTTGTTGTATGCTTTGCACAGTGGTTGTGGTACAGTCGTTTGCCTCATTAGTTAGCCTTGTTAATAAACACATCGTGGATTTATTTTGTAACAAACAGGAGGTGGTAGGACCACTGTACATTATTTATGTAAGTTTTCCAAAGTCTCTTAACATGAAGTGCAACCGTGCCCTGTTTTAAGCAAATGTGCTGTGCAAGGACATGTCGCAGATTGCAACCCAACACCCCTGTCACTCATTGCAGGCTGTGGGGAGCAGCAAACAAGCAGGAGAATTGCAATATATATATACAAGATACACTGTTATATACTTTAACTCAGCTTTCACATCATTGCACGCCTATATAATAGTGTCGACTAACCTGTGGCACTGCAGATATTTACCACCAGTTGCATTTTCTTTGAAGCTCAATCAGTGTATAGCCTGGCTGAATAATGGGATGAAATGTTATGTATAAACTACCACAAGATGACTGATCATCGTGGGAAATGTCTGTCTGTTACTGTTCTATAGGTATGTTTGTTGGTCATAATACACTGGACAAAATTATAAACGCAACACTTTTTTTTTTTTTTTTTGCACACATTTTTCATGAGCTGAACTCAAAGATCAAAGCTCCCTCAAAACATGCGACATCTGTGGCATTGTGCTGTGTGATAAATCTGCACATTTTAGAGTGGCCTATCATTATGGCCAGCCTAAGGCACACCTGTGCAATAATCATGCTGTCTAATCAGCATCTTGATATGCCACACCTGTGAGGTGGATGGATTATCTCAGCAAAGGAGAAGTGCTCACTAACACAGATTTGTGAACAATATTTGAGAGAAATAGGCCTTTTGTGTACACAGAAACAGTCTTAGATCTTTGAGTTCAGCTCATGAAAAATGGGGGCAAAAACAAGTGTTGAATTTACAATTTTGGCACTCCAAGCTGACCCGATATTTCCAAAAATGTTGCAGAACTGCTGAACGCTGTTGGAGAAAGTCTCACTCTGCATCTGACTTCATCCACTAAAAATCTATGCTGCACTCCTACACTCTGGCTCTTTCCTCTGCAAAAGTAAATTACTTTAATACCCTCATAACCACACTGTCCTGCCAACCCAAATGGCTATATCACACTTTTAATGCTCTCCTTTGCCCTGTTGCTCCCCCTCCTCCTACCTCCTTGTCCACCTCAAACTTTGCAACTCCCTTCACTGAGAAGATTTCTACAATCAGGGAAAAGATCTCTAATCTCTCTCCCTCCCCTTCCAATACATCACCCAAACCCACTCACTCCACTACTCTATGCTCATTCACACCTACTAAAACACTGAGCAGGGCCTCAATCCCTCTGTTACGGTGTCACTATACCCCACTCCCTCTAACATGTAAGCTCACTGAGCAGAGCCCTCAATCCCTCTGTTACTGTCACTATACCCCACTCCCTCTAACAGGTAAACTCACTGAGCAGGGCCCTCAATCCCTCTGTTACTGTCACTATACCCCACTCCCTCTAACATGTAAACTCAGTGAGCAGGGCCCTCAATCCCTCTGTTACTGTGTCACTATACCCCACTCCCTCTAGCATGTAAACTCACTGAGCAGGGCCCTTAATCTCTCTGTTTCTGTGCGTCCATTTGTCTGGTTACAATTACATGTCTGTTAGTCCATCCATTGTACAGCACTATGGAGTTTTGCTGGCGCTATATAAATAATAAAATAATTTAAATTAAGCATAGACACTTAGTGATACATACAATTTTTAGTTCAGAAATACTCTACTTCCTGTAGTCAGTGCTGGCCCAGCTTGGGGCAGAATTGATGTACTACTTGGTACAAGCACTGTTTACTGAGAGTAGAGTGCTCGCAGACATCATATTTATTACTTTGCTATTGATTTCTGAACATTGTGGTGGGTCATCCTGGCCTATGGAACTTAATGTAGAGGGCAGGACAGTTTGGTGTATCAGAACACTGTGTGTGTATCAGTTGGCTTTCCATGTTTTTCTCAATTTTGTTTTGTCTTGATTACTCGGCAGGCGTCTGACCTGCTCAATGCCCTTGCCTAAGCTCTCTCTTTAAATGTCTTCTTTTTCTGACTCTCCCCTTATTCTCTGTGCAGGGAGGACGGTGAACTGGAAGAAGGCGAGCTTGAAGATGACGGTGGAGAGGATGGAGGTCGTGAGGCTGCAGAGCCTCAGGCTCCCCAAGAAAAGGGAGAAAAGCACCACAGTGACTCGGACGAGGAGAAAGCTCACCGCAGGATGAAAAGGAAACGCAGGAAGGAGAAGGAGAAACGAAGAGCAAAGAAGAAAAGGAAGTCCAAACACAAGGTATTCAGAGAGAATATTTACCTTATGGGCAAACACAAGGTAGGCTCCGCCTGATCTTTGATTGGAACGTTCCTTGACGCACGTTATCCCTTCTTAAATATCTGAAATATGAATGCAAATGGGCTATTTCTTGTTTCGTGAATTTTTATTTTATTTATTTTTGTCGCTGTTTGTTTCAGCGTCACGCATCCTCCAGCGAAGACTTTTCCGACTATAGCGATGAATCTGACTTCAGTCCTAGTGAGAAAGCTCATCGGAAATATCGCGAGTACAGTCCCACCTTCCCTCCGGTAAGTACTCTATAGTGTTTGGAATTATATGGGCAGCAGGGGGTGTTTTTATTTATATTATCATTGGAGGCCAGCCTTTTTTACCTCTGACAATTTCCATTTGAAGCTATGAATCATCATGCTTTGCTTTAGCCTCCTCATACTCTGTGTATTAAAGTGTTTACACACACAAAAAAAAATAGATATTTGAGAGCAAGCTGAACTTAGTGTAACAGATTTACTAGAATGTCCTCTAACTCCCTCCGTACTGGCCAGGCTACTCCTAGCAGAGGCTGAAAGTGCTACTTTCCAGCAGAGCATGCAATCCTTTGTGAGGCTCTGACCTATTCATTGTATGCACTCCTTTTCTTCAAATGGAAGCTAATATGGCAGGATTCTATTAGCGGAATCCTAGAATTCTTTTTCAGATTTAAATTGCCCAGGGCAGTGTATGTGCAAGATGTAATAAAATGGTATTCTGATTAATAAGTTGTCGCTCTAGAAATAAACCTTTAATAATGTGATATTATCTGTATTAAACATATTGGAAGCTTTGAGTTTTCATTGTACTTTGCTTAAAACATATCTTAACCCCTTAAGGGCACAGCTTCCAAAGTAAAGGGCCAGCATTTCTGTTGTGTGTTCTTATGGAGTTGAACAATCTTGGTAAATGTTTAATCCTCCTGTAGGGCAGGCACCAAAAGTACTGTATTTGGATACCGTATTCTCGAATGCACTGCCCAAAGCTATGACCTAACTATCATGATTGACTCAGTCTGGAAATCACACTTTCTCAAATTCATGTTACAGCTAATAATTTTGTATTTCAGGGACACCCACCTTACCCACCTCCACCTCAGCACAATGCCCCCCTTCCAAAGAAGGGCTACCCCAAGATGGAGAGCAAAGGCTATGGCATGTATGACGATTACGAAAATGACCAGTATGGAGACCAGTATGGCGAATACGAGGATGAAGGTGGGGATGACATGGGCCAAGAGGAGTATGATGACTTTGCAAAGGAATTAAATCAGTACAGAAGAGCAAAGGAGGGCAACCATCGTGGGAGAGGTACGGCTGTGATTACACACAGTAACTAATGTGATTGAATTACGATGTTCACTGATAATAGGCTGGGTTGTGTTCCCTATAGTAATTATTTGCTGTTTTTTATAAAAAATATATAAAAAGAACTTCTTTACAGCTAATGGAGCCTGGAAATGTGAGCAACAATGTGAAATGTGACTGAAATAATACACAACAAACTGAGAAAACATGTACATATGGCCAAAGGACAACTGTCAGCAAATGTTCCCTAGATTTTTTTTTAAAGTTTATTACAATAGGTTTTAAACTGTTGTCATGAGTCAAGGAAAGATAAGCAAGACAGTCACAAATATCACATATTAAAATCACAAATTTGAGACTACTGACTTATACAATTTACATGACATGTATTTGTTTATAAGAAAAGTTACAACATTGCAACATAAAATCAAAAGCCAACTAAAGATGCTCTTTTATAAGTCATGAGTAGAACGGCACAAGGTTAATACAAAACCAAGGGCATTAAATATATTGTGTCCAGTTTTAGGAGATTTGTATTCTGTACCGAAGGGGCTTGGGCCGCTATAACCCTGGTCAAGAACCAGCCTCTACCTTTTTAAAGTAGATTTAATTTTGGATTGAGTAGAACTAATTAATATAAGGTTACCAGGTAAGAGAATATTTTTGTTAAAGTGCTTTTATTTAAAGCGGCTTTTATCCAATCCTTATGGAAGTGAAAGATTTTTATGTAAATCAGTGGATAGTTGAGGGGGCAAGGGACTCATCCAGTGGTGTAGTAATACTTTTACATGGCGTTAATTTAGAAACGTAACTTGATTCTTCCATTGTTACCCCCAATGTTGCTCGGAATAAAGAAATACAAAATGGTGCTTTATGACAATTAATTCAACTTTATAACACTTTTTTTGTTTTTAGAAACATTATATAGATTTTTTTTCTTTTTTTTTAGGGATTTAAATTTTTTTTTTTGTTTTTTGTTTTTTTATCTGGCTGGGCAACCATATTGGGTTAGACTCTACTATTATCTGCTGTTATCTACTTATCTGCTGTTGCTACAGGTTCACACAGAGCTATTATATCAACAGAAAGCAACAGTTGGTTAGATAACAGTTCAGCCAGATAAAAAGGTGGAAATTAAATTTAAAAAAAAACTATTTTGTCATTTAAAGAAAATATCATTAAAGGGACACTGGAGTCACCAAAATAACTTTAGCTTCATGACAATTTTCATATATGGATCATGTCCCTGCAGTTTCTCTGCTCAATTCTCTTCTGTTTAGAAGTTAAATTACTTTTTTTTTTTTTTGCAGCCCTAGCCACACCTCCCTGCAGGTGACTCTCACAGCCTTCCAAAACACTTCCTGCACAGAGTGATATAACATTTGAACTTCCTTTATTGCACAGTCTGGGTAATGTAGAATTTCGTATCTCCTGCAGTGTTAATAGCCTGCTAGACCTTGCAGGAGACTCCTATATGTATTTAACCCCTTAAGGACATATGACATGTGACATGTCATGATTCCCTTTTATTCCAGAAGTTTGGTCCTTAAGGGGTTAAAGTTCAATTTACAGAACAGGAGGTAAATTATCTAAATCAAGTTATCATCTGGTTGGATTTTTATTTTATTTTTTTATGTGTGAGTCACAACCGGAGTAGGTGGGACTAGGGCTGAATAAACAAAAGTGATTCCTAAATGCCATAGAATGGAGCAGTGAAACTGCAGTGATCTTTACAATAGAATTTCTTCATTAAAGGGACACTCTAGTCACCAGATACTGTTACAGCTTAATGTAGTTGTTCTGCTGTCTACTGCCTGTTCGTGCAGGCTTTTCAATGTGGCAGTGTTTACATTTCTGCCTAGTAACACTTCTAGTGGCAGTCACTCAGGTGGTCACTAGAGGTGCTTCTTGTGTCAGTGCTGCCCAATGTGCCGCACTGACATTCAATGTCTCCACGCTTTGTATGGAGGTGCTGTACGCTCCTTATAGAGATGCATTGATTCAGTGCATCTCTATGAAGAGATTCTTATTGGCACATCACTGTATTTTGCTAAAGTGGTTTTCTTGCCTATAGTATCCCTTTCAGTTTCATTATGTGTAATAAACATGTAAATATTCAATGGTAGTTGTCCTTTAAATGATTATCCATAAATATGAGCATGACAATAACCATTAATCTGCTCCTCTTCATCTCAACAGGCATGCGTGGTCGAATGAGAGGGATGCGAATGCGCGGTGGGAGAGGCATGATGCGAGGAAGAGGAGGTTACAGGGGCAGAGGGGGTAGAGGAAGAGGATTCCCGGGAGAAGAGCATCAAGATGATGAGGAGATGTATGAGGAGGAAATGGAGGTAAGGTGCAAAATTATGTGACTGTATTCCTCCTTTGTGGGAGTTTAACCTTAGATACCCTAACCACTAGTGGGCTCTAAAACTCCTTAGTTATTCTTGTTTATACAGTGAAATATGAAAGGCTTTTAATTCATCTATCACATCTTGTTCTCCTGTAAAAATGTTGCCTTTCTATTCTGCATTTACACATTGAAACAGTTGAAAGGTAGAACGTTGTTTCTTTCTTTAAGCCTGTCTTCTAATGTTCCAGGCTATCTGTGTAATGGAATGGCTCTGAAAATTTAATAAATCTGGGATTAGAACCGAGCTTTATATAAAAAGGAAAACATTTCAGTTGTGTTTTAAGTTATTTTCATAGTAAAACAACTCTCTGTGTACAAATAATTGGTTCACACGGGATTTCCTTTCATATTGTGCTTTAGGAAGGTAGTTATCAGCAGCATCAGGTTAGGTAACAGTTGGTCTCGTTCTATTAGTGAAAGTGTAACTGTACTGTCTATAGCTGGGTTCTGTGTTGTTGATCCATTGGTAGGAGACCAGTGGAGTCGCTTAGTACGCCTGGTGTCGGGGTGAGAAGCCGTCTCTCCCCGGCTCCAACTTTAGTAGGCCGCACTCAGCGTTTCGTCCTCCTGGCCCTGACAGGTTTCAGAGGGGGTGTCCTTCCGTTCTCTGGCGCACTCCCAACATGGGTAGCGCAACCCGGTGAGTCTGTGGGCTATGTATCTACTGATTTTACCCCGAATTCAGCCCGTCGGGTGAGAGCTCGTGTTGCCCACATCTTTACTGCTTGGCGGTCATGTTCCGCCCCCCTTGAGAGCCTTTTTGACCTATTGCAGCAGTGTCCCTGTTTGAGTCTTTAGAACTTTTAAAAAGTGAGAAAATCTTGGGGTGCTGGGTTTATTTTTGACCCATGAAAGTAAGCCCTGTTTCTTCTATTTCTGCCTCTTTTTCTCCTTAACTGTGCTCACATGAATTCCCTTGCAAGGTCTATCACACAACTGGCAACTGTATCAACTGTTATCAGGTGCAAGATGTGTCTAGGCTCTCAGTGACTTCTTTTTTCATGCAAGAACTCTTCTCCCAACACCAACAGTCATTATTTTTGGACATAGTCTCAACAACAAAGCTAAGTGAAGCCTGCAGACATCCAGCACTGACATATTTATATATATATTATCCTTACTTTGCACAATAACAAAACCAAAAAATCCTTTAATTCTGTAATGTTAGAAATGCTTAAATCAAAATATTTAGAAAAAAATGTTTAGAAAAGTTGTAGCCACAATATGTTTGTTGATTGATTCAGCTGTGTACATCCTCTGTCATACTGGCAGAGCATCATGGGAGTGGTAGGCCACAGCCACTGCGATGGTAGTTGCCTTTTGTTTTCTTTAAGGCCAACAGTCTTTGCATTGCATTAGGGGCAAGCACTATATCACGTAGTCTGAATTCTTAGGACCTCATGGGTTAGAGAATGCTGGCAGATGATATGCCTGCAATGTGTGTGGTATACAGACCTTTTATATGTAAATAAAAACCTTTTGAAATGGAAAGATTACCTTGCATTGTACGAAGATGTATAACATGGATATTGGCATGGTGAAATATTGCAGTGATTCCTCGTAGCAATTGTATCTGTAGTTGTTATTGGTGCTGGTATTGTAAGTCACATAATTATTTCTTTATTATTTCAGTATTGTGACGAAGAACCAATGGACGGCGAGGAATATGACGACTATTCCAAGGAACTCAACCAGTATCGCAGGTCAAAAGAGGGCAGAGGCCGCGGTGAGTGGATGCAACTATTTTTAGTTTTGTTACCTGGACGCAGTTGGATATCATTTGTGAAGATTTCGGACTGAAGGTCTTATTTACCCACAATGTCTGATTCTCCGCATGTTAGTGACTCTATTTCTGCTTGTAGGTTTCTACCGAGGTCGTGGTCGCGGCCCACGAATGAGAGGGTATAAGGGTATGGGAAGAGGACGTGGACGAGGCAGAGGGAAAGGAGATGATGAAGATTACTATGATGAGGAAGGAGTAAGTAATTAACTACCAGGATAGTTAGTAAGATATGTATACCTTCAAAATAAATCCATCTCTATGGTGAGCAGGTTATATTCCTTGTAACATGTTCTCTTCTCACCTAGGATGGAGGTATGTATCGCAATGACTACGAGAAACCTCACCATCGGGCAGACAAAAAAGGGAAAGTCATCTGCAAGTACTTCGTGGAGGGACGCTGTACCTGGGTAAGAGTCATTTCACTTATTCCCTGTCATTGTTTTAACATGAACCTGTCATGACAGAATCACCTTAATGGATAACCGCCTCCTAAGGCAATGAATGTATCATTTGTTGTAAAGATAGGAAGCTCTGTAGTTTGATTAGTTATGATAGAGAGCAGGTAGGCACATGAACTTGATCCAGGGGTGGGTTGGTGGAAGGTAGCCCACAAATGTTGCAGGTCTACAGCTCCCAAGAAGCTTCCCAGGCAGCAGTACATGCTTTTACTATAACCACTTCACCACTCTTTGGTGATCATGATGTCTGGAGTCCCTTGGCCCTGTCCTTCTCTTAAGAGTCGGACAGTAGTATCATTAAGCAGAAGTTCCCATTCCATTTAGGCAAAAGTATTACTAAAGTAGAATGTTTTCTTCCAGTTGTAGCTCGTAACACTTGTAACTGTCTTTTGTTATGCAGGGTGAGCACTGTAATTTCAGCCACGATGTTGAAGTACCTAGGCGCCGCGGACTCTGCAAATTCTATGTTACTGGATACTGCGCCCGAGCAGACAATTGTCCATACATGCACAATATCCTTTTTACTATGTCAATACATTGTTTGTGATTCACACTTTCTAAGAATAGATTTGTCAGGTAGGGTAATGTTTTTCTGTTTTTTTTCATTTGTAACACAAAGTTTGAGTTGGTATTTTAATAGATTACTCACCCTTTAAATAGATCAGGGAGATTGAAGATAATTGATTTCTTGATACAATCTTTCACAATGGATAGTTGAGTTCAGGAAGGGAAAAAAATCAACAAAACTTTGACAAGCAATACATTGGAACAAATCTGGCACTCAAAAGGTTAAGCAGTCTAAATACCTTAAGACGGTTTGTTGGTAAAATCATTGTGTGTCTATATAGACACCTGTTGTCTATATAATAATTTGCCACGTGGAAAAGTTTAAATAATGGTGCTCCAAGCACCTGGCTAATGCTCCTTCATATTACAGTTTATGGTTTACCTGGCTTGACAAGTTTTAAGGACAATAAACAAACACAACCATTTTATTGTAAATTAGTTTGTGATATCGCATGTGCTTTCATGCTGCTCTCATGGTTTTTCATGGGGAGCACGGATTACATGGATATTACATCCATCTCCTGCTTGTTATTGGAGATAAGCTGCATTCAGGGAAATCGCAGAGCGTTAGACTGAAATACTTAAATGTTTACAGTAAATAACTTATTTTGCATAATTTTATTCTAATGAAATTGAGCCTTTTTTTAATGTCAATCTTTCTTTTATTGAGGCATAGAGTTGCATGGGAACAGAAGAAAGAAGGGGAAATAGTTAAGATACATTCCAAACGGGGGTATAACAATACAGTTGATATCCTCTCCGTGAAGCGTCTGACTCAGGCTAGTGTGGTTAGATTAGTTAGTAGTGTATATATAATGTACATAGACTGCTATGCAAGGCGTGCTATATTCTTGTGTTCGAGCCACTGTTTACAATCTTATGACTATTCGTGAGACTATACAGGCTAGTGACATCTGACTGTGAGTAAACAGGCTAGTTAAACATTGAGTCTTGCATGCATTGAGGACATTATACCACTGGGTTCTGGGCCTAGGAATAGTAAACTGCGCAACCGATTAGGTCAAAATTATAAGCAGCTAAATAAACAAAGCTTAGCTAGTACTTCCTCAACAATAAATGGGGAGTCTCTTATCAGGCATGTCCCTTCGCTCTGTGTCTTCAGTGAGTTACCAGGAGCTCTGGGTGTGGTTTTGGGTGCCCCGTCATCCAATCCCCATTAGCGGCAGAGGTGATACAAGTGTAGGGGAGTCCCAACGATTATCTACCGCAGTGTGCCGTTTCATGGCTCTCTTCCAGAACCGGGTCTGCATAAGGATAAGTATCGCTAGTCCATTATCCCTGGTGTTCATGTGGATCAAGTCCGTCCCCTGCCTTAGGTTTGTGGTGGGTCGTGGGTGGCTGCAGTCATGGCGAGTGATCTTCCGCTTGCGTGGCTGTTGCAGGGAGGCAGTGCCTCTAGGTGTGTTCAGCCCAGAAGGGTGAGCAGCTTGGTGGTTAGTTGGCTGTTTGCGGTGAGTGTCGGGTTCAACCGATGGGCAACAGGTGCAGGAGATTGTCCTCCAGCCCCAGGCTGTTGTGATAGCCAACATCCTCTGTCCACGGACTTTGTACCTACGTGCGGCCCAGTCCTGGCCCCCCAAGGGGCAGTTGGAAAATTGCGGTGACATCCGCTGCCTGCGGCGTTTGTTCTTCCCCCTGTGTGGTCGATGTCTCGAGGCCATGCCATTCTGTGAGGTCAGAGTACCTTGAGGCGTCTGCTGTGTCCAGTCAGTTGGGGTAATGGTTGGTGCCTCAGTGGGGACCGGGATAACACCCACCGGGGGTAGGAGACCAGTGGAGTCGCTTAGTACGCCTGGTGTCGGGGTGAGCAGCCGTCTCTCCCCGGCTCCAACTTTAGTAGGCTGCACTCAGCATTTCGTCCTCCCGGCCCCGACAGGTTTCAGAGGGGTGTCCGGTTCCGTGGCGCACTCCCAACATGGGAGTCTGTGGGCTACGTAGCCGCTGATTTTACCCCTAATTCAGCCAGTCAGGTGAGAGCTCGTGTTGCCCACGTCTTTACTGCTTGGTGGTCAGGCTCTGCCCCCCTTGAGAGCCTTTTTGACCTATTGCAGCAGTGTCCCTGTTTGAGTCTTTAGAACTTTTAAAAAGTGAGAAAATCTTGGGGTGCTGGGTTTATTTTTGACCCATGAAAGTAAGCCCCGTTCCTTCTATTTCTGCCTCTTTTTCTCCTTAACTGTGCTCACATGAATTCCCTTGCAAGCTCTATCACACAACTGGCAACTGTATCAATGGCGATGAGTGTATGTTCTCCCATGATGCTCTGACAGACGAAACACAAGAACTCCTGGATAAGGTAATTAAACACAATCTGTGGCGATGTATGCATTTACAGCAGTTCTACACAGCATCTCTGCCTGTTGGTTTTTTATTTTATTATATATCTTTAAAAACACGTTTTAATGTAGTGAGTCTGTGCAGTGTTTGTAAAGGGATCATGTCACATTATATTGCAATATGTTGGAGGAATCTCATAGAAATCAGGTGAATAATGTACCTGTTAGCAAGTCAACGGAATAACAGGGAAACCAATATGAAAATAATCCAAACATAGAGAATAAACATTAGTACTTGGCTTCCACTTTGTTTGGTGCCCACTCAGTTCTCAAATTTTAGCTTGCTTGCACCGTTGCTGAGGGAATCTATCCCATCTGTATATCCATCTGATCCCACCAATAAGACCATACAGAACCTGAAATGCTCAGACTAACATTTGACTTTGTCAGTGCGCTGTGATGGCACAAATAGCAAAGGGTCTGCTTGTGATTCACCCATGTAAACTGAAATCAGTTAGAAGAGCATGTCTCTGAAACCTGAGTGGGGAGTTATTGAGGGACAAGTTATATATTTATCATTGTACATTCTGCTTTTGGCTTACCATAAACAATTCTAAAACTCTGTCCTGTGTGAGTTTTTCCGTTTACTACTGTTTCAATACAAAGCTGCTATCTAATTATTTATTTATTTTTCTTAATGATATTTCTATCCCCACTGACCACAACCTCATCTCGGATGTGTACATGCAGATCTTGCTGGCATATAGCTGCATCCATTGAGGAACATTAAAGGACCACTATAGTGCCAGGAAAACATACTCGTTTTCCTGGCAATATAGTGCCCTGATGGTGCCCCCACCCTTAGGGTCCCCCTCCCGCCGGGCTCTGGGGAGAGGAAGGGGTTAAACTTACCTCTTTCTCCAGCGCCGGGCGGGGAGCTCTCCTCCCTCTTCTCCTCCTCTTCGGCTGAATGCGCATGCGCGGCAGGAGCCACGCGCGCATTCAGCCAGTCCAAAGGAAAGCATTCACAATGCTTTCCTGTGGACGCTGGCGTCTTCTCACTGTGATTTTCACAGTGAGAAATGCGGAATCCCTCTAGCGGCTGTCAGTGAGACAGCCACTAGAGGCTGCATTAACCCTAACATAAACATAGCAGTTTCTCTGAAACTGCTATGTTTATAGAAAAAAAGGGTTAACCCTAGATGGACCAGGCACCCAGACCACCTCATTAAGCTGAAGTGGTCTGGGTGCCTATAGTGGTCCTTTAACGTTTCACTGTACCTGCACAAACTACAGTTTCTCAGTCTATACCAACAGTGTTGCTGTATTTGTAAATTGTAAGCTACACACTTGCTAGGACAAGGGATAGATGACATGTTATGGTCTATAAATTGCCCATTTTCCTCTGTAGATGTTAGCTGGACAGCATTTAGTTATTGTAAAACCTCATAGACATATGATTGCTTTTCATCTCTGTACAGATTTTGGCTGAGGATGCAGAGGCTGGGGCGGAAGATGAGAAAGATGTTGAAGAACTAAAGAAGCAAGGCATCAATCCATTGCCAAAACCACCCCCAGGAGTAGGGTTATTGCCAACACCATCCATTCCACCTCCTGCACCATCATCCCCTACTGAGGACATGTCCCCACCACCTGGGCCAAGTGGACCTGTGCCTGTTGCACCTGTATCAGGGGTTGCAGGGCCTGTAAATCCTGCATCTGGAGGAGCAGTTCCTGGTGGTTCCTTACCATGCGGCCCCTCGTCACCAGAAGAGCCAGGTGGCTCGGTGACTGGCAGTTCTGGATCATCAGGGCCTTGTGGACCCGTTTGTGGCAGTCCAATGTCTTGTGGGCCAATGCCTGGCGGTCCTATGCAGGGAGGCCCCATGCCTGGCGGTCCTATGCAGGGAGGCCCCATGCCTGGCGGTCCTATGCAGGGAGGTCCCATGCCTGGCGGTCCTATGCAGGGAGGTCCCATGCCTGGCGGTCCTTTGCAGGGAGGTCCCATGCCTGGCGGGCAGGGAGGTCCTTATGCAGGGAGGCCCCATGCCTGGCGGGATGCAGGGAGGCCCCATGCCTGGCGGTCCGATGCAGGGAGGCCCCATGCCTGGCGGTCCGATGCAGGGAGGCCCCATGCCTGGCGGTCCGATGCAGGGAGGCCCCATGCCTGGCGGTCCGATGCAGGGAGGCCCCATGCCTGGCGGTCCGATGCAGGGAGGTCCCATGCCTGGCGGTCCGATGCAGGGAGGTCCCATGCCTGGCGGTCCGATGCAGGGAGGTCCCATGCCTGGCGGTCCGATGCAGGGAGGTCCCATGCCTGGCGGTCCGATGCAGGGAGGTCCCATGCCTGGCGGCCCGATGCAGGGAGGTCCCATGCCTGGCGGCCCGATGCAGGGAGGTCCCATGCCTGGCGGCCCGATGCAGGGCGGCCCGATGCAGGGAGGTCCCATGCCTGGCGGCCCGATGCAGGGCGGACCCATGCCCGGCAGTCCGATGCATGGCGGCACCATGCCCGGCGGTCCTATGCCTGGATGTCCAATACCTGGTGGTCCTATGATGGGTGGTCCAATGCCTCCAGGATCAATGCTACCAATGCAAGGAGGACCATGTGAACCCATGCCATCTGGTGGCCCAATGCATCCTTGCCCTGGAGGTCCAATGCCCCCATTGCAAGCAGGTTCTGGTGGACAGATGCCTGGAAGCCCAGGAAGTGGAGGTTCTGGGATGATGGATCAAATGCCAGGAAGCCCCATGTCTGGAAGTCAGCAGTCTATGGATCTGCAGATGTGTCAGAGAAAAATACCATCCCTGTTTGAGATTGTTGTCCGTCCCACAGCCCACCTGGCTCACAAGCTTGGTGTCAGGTGAGGATTGATCATGCAAATATAATATTATATTTTGACATATATACTATATATTTAGTATATTTTGCTTAATTTTGTTTTTTAGTCGCCCGCCAGGACCACCTGGAGGTCCACCAGGTCCCCCTCCACCTAGATTTCCTGCTCCCATGGGACCACAAGGCCCAATGCACCATGATATGGACATGGGCATGGAGGACGGACCCCCCATGATGCCATATGGCCCAGGTGATGGCTCTGAAATGATGGCTGATGGCCACCCAGATCAGGGCTTCTATGATGAATACTACCAGGATCCCAACATGGAGATGATGGGAGATGCAGGTATGTGTTTCCAGCCTCACTTGAAATAGTGTTCTATTATTTACCAAATAACTTGAAAATACTCAAACCCTTAAACATAGGCGACACAATTCTCTGCCCGTTCTATTTCCGTGCTGGAAACAGGAGGAACGTTTTCTCTTCCAGGCTTGTTCTTATTTGGCCTTTGAGTTTTTCTTTATTTTGCTTTGTAATGGATGCCTTTATTCAATCCTTTTAATGGCTCTTCAAACCTCCGAGCCTGTTAATATCATGTACTAGACTACTTCTCCTTTACTTAAGCAATAATTGGGGCTGTCACCCACTCCTTAAAGAAACCTGCAAATACATTTTCAGCTTTTAAACGTTAAGACACAAAATCCTTTATTTTCCCTTGTGTGGGTTTAAAGGGCCGCTCCATACCCATAAAGCACTTAAGCTTTCTGAAGTGCTTTATGTATAAAGAGTTTTAGAAAATTTTACAAAAAGTGCAGGTTTCAATATAAATTGACACTTCTATAAATGAACCTTGTTATACCCCCTGGCTGTCAATCTTGCAACTGATCCTGTTACTTCCTGGTTTATTTAGTTGTGGGATTGATTAGTAATGGGGTTGTTCAGGTGAGTACAATAGCTCCCTGCAGCCCTTTTCATGTAAACACAGTATTTTCACAGAAAATACTGTGTTTACATTAGAACCTAGAAACACCTCCAGTGGCAGTCACTCAGACGGCCACCAGAGCCACATCCGAGTTAATTCACATTAATCACGTTTGACGTCTTCACACTTGGCTGAAGACATCAAACGTGCTATCAGGACACAGGAGGCACTGTGAACACGCCTCCTGTGTCCTGTAGTAACCCGGAGCTTGTCGGCAGTCAAAGCCGACATTTTGGGAGATAACGATCTCCTGCACTCACTTTGGGCTCTGGCTGACAGGCTGAAGGCAGGAGACTGAGCAGGAGGATCTACTGAGTGTGTGTGATGGATAGAGAGAGATGGTGTGTGTATGTTTTTTAAAATGCGTGTGTTTTTATAAAAACACTATATATAGAGTTTGTATACACACACACAATTTGGGCTTAGGAGGGGGCGGGGCATAAACAGCAGGCTGAGCTGTCAGTCAGCTCAGCTCATGAATGTGTATACTGCGCACATGCGCGGTAGGGCACTCAGTGTTCATTTATAGGGTGGCATTCAATGCCGCTCTATGAAGAACGTGATGGGTGTGGCGCAAAGCCACACATGGGCACTAGATTGCTATGACACTTCTCCAAGAGCCCTGCTATTTCATCATTGGGGGTGCGGCCTGCCGAGGATCTTGGCGCTGGAACGGGGGTAAGTTTATATTATTATAATCACCCCAATTTAAGAGAAATTATTATAAAAGCAAGAAAGAAGTCTAGGGGACCTGTCTTTCTTGCTTTTATATATTGACTATAGTGCTCCTTTAACTGCGTGTCTTACTCAAGACTCCTCTATGTGAACACTAGAAACTGGTTTGCAATGGCTATTTTATGCCTTGAGGGCAAGAGCAGTTATGCTTCCTGTTCCAAGCTGCACAAGAAGTAAAATCTCTTCCTTTCCTGTATCAGAGGCAGAGGGCTGGCATATAGCTGCATGCAGCTGCAAAGATACAAAAGTGTCTTCAGTCATTTTTAAAGGGACGCTATACTCCCCAAAACAACTTTAGCTTAATGAAGCATTTTTGGTGTATAGATCATGCCCGTGCAGACACTTTGTTTATACAGCCCTAGTCACACCTCTCTGCATTTGACTTACACAACCTTCCTAAACACTTCCTGTAAAGACTCTTCTAATGTTTAAACCTCCGACCGGTTACCTCCGCTAATCCCTTCCTTCAGCCGCTCAGGAACCACTTTAGAATATACAGAGACCCATTTCTCCCCCAGTAACTGGATGACGCACAGCTGTGGGAGTAAAACTCTGACTGAACTCTGTTTATTTCGTCACACATGGTGTCTCCAACACAAAACAGGGGTTTCAATCCCAATAAGTCAGTTCAAACTGGGCTGGCAGTGTCCTTGTGGCAACGCCCTGCTGTGACAGGCAAAGGAAGGGGAGGGGCACAGACCAGCAATACATTTCACTATGACAATACTTTACAAAGCTCCCTGTTGACCCACAGCTGCATATACAGGCACATGTAAAACAATTCCACCAATGGCACCGCAAAAATGGCCTAACAAATCAGGCCATCCATCACATATCCCACCCCCCTATAGAAATAGACAGCAGGCACATGGGGATATGGCATTCAGTGACGGTGTTCTGTCACACCTCCTTTATTGCAAATTCTGTTTCATTTAGAATTGAACAGTTAACCACTTCTATTTAATTTTTACTGCAATCTGCCACGAGCACCAAGAGCTGTACATTCAGTGTGTCCTGTGCCGGTTTTATCTTGTTCTGTTAGTAGAGCACTGAATCCAAGCAAGGTTGTACAATCTTTGTACTAAATGTGCTGTTTGACTATATTGGTATGCAAAATAACTCTGTGCTGCATGTTTTATATGAAAGTATTGAAACTATTGTAATAACATGATTTTTTTTTTTTTTTTAAATAGGTGGTTTTGACGAATACAATGTAATGCAAGAAGACTCTGCTGCTCTCCAATATCAAGAACATCCTCCAGAACCGGGTCCCGAAACTGAGGAGTCTGGATCCAACTTCAACAAAGGAAACATCCCAGACTTTCTACCCTCAGCCCAGCGGGCTCTTTTCTTGCGTATCCAACAGAAGCAACAGGAGGAGGAGGAGAGAGCGAGGAGGCTTGGGAACAACCAGCAGGAGAGAGACCACGAGGAAGGTAATCATCCTGTCTGTCGCTCTTTAAATCATAATGTACCGTAACTGTGTGTGGCATGAATAGATCCCTGGTTCTCTCCCTCATCACGATCTCAGTGATTAGCTTAACTTACACTTATTATGTCTTTTCATGTTGGTGCAAATGTAGTTTCTTATCTTTTCATTCTCACTGCAAAAAATAAACTCTTTAAGAAGTACAGCTCCCATTGTTGAATTTTCTTTTTTTTAATATTTATTTTTTACTCTTTAGGTGACACTGTGAACTGGTATTCAAGTGACGAGGAGGAAGGGGGAAGCAGTGTAACCTCCATATTGAAAACATTAAGACAGCAGTCTTCCAGCCGCCCTTCCCCTCCAGCTCCGGTCAGAGAGGTTGGTACTGGAGACCCACGATTGCCGAAAAGTCAGGCTGTCCCGTTCAGCCGTCCTACAGACCCCCGAATCTCCCGTGATCCACGCCTGTCCCGGAACACAGAACCTATTGCAGCCGAATCTAGTTCAAGCGACCCAAGACTAGCCCGCCACACGACTCAACCTAAACAGGACTCACCTGTGAGCAAAGTTCTTGTCGAAGAGGAAGAAAGTGAGCGGGTGTTGAGGGACAAACCTGTAAATATTCCTTTAGATCCTCTGCCAGGGCTGGCATTGAGGGACCCTCGCAGTCAACTTCAGCAATTTAGCCATATCAAGAAGGACATCCATTTGAACAAACCAGCTTTTTCCAGGTCTGTACTGTGGAGTCCAGAAGATCTTATACCTTTGCCCATACCCAAGCAGGATTTTATCCCTGTGCCAGCAGCACTGCAGTCTACGCCAGTTTTGGACCCACGCCTGAACCGTCCAGCCACATCTGCAGCCCTTGACCCTCGACAACGAGCGCTTGCAGGTGAAGTTCCGGCAGCTAATACCAATCTGCCAGATTTTGAACTGCTATCGAGGATTTTGAAGACTGTTAATGCTGCTTCTGTTGCCACCCCTAGTCCTCCTGCTCCTTCTGATAAACCCAGTGACCCACGGACACGAAAAACTCTTACTGACCCCCGACTGCAAAAGGCAACAGAACCTGCATCTTTATCAAAAGCAACAGAACCCACACAACCCCAACCCTTGCCACCCCCTACAGAGAGCACACCCACTATTGCACCATATGATCCCCGACTGTTGACATCAGGTGGGCTGAGCAAGCCAAGTAGCCAGAGCAATGTGCTTAGTGGCATTAGTTTGTATGATCCCAGGATGGGGAGTAAAACTTCAGCTGAAGCTGCCACTAGCGAGACAACCGCTAAGGCACAGGACACAAAACCTGCCATCAAGCCAAAAGAACCACTTTTTGTTCGTAAATCTGCCCTCGATCAGCCTGAGGCTGAAAAGCAAACATCAGAGACTGCTACAGACAGATACAATAGCTACAATAGGCCACGTACCAAAACAACGGCTGCCTCCTCGTTGCCTGCCTCTGAAAGTAGCCAACCTGCTGTCCACAACCTCCCTGTGCCGTCTGTTTACGGTTTGGTCAAGCAGGCCACTAAATCTGGCAGTGGCAGTCCATATGCTGGAAATAGCCCAACCCAGGACAGTGAGCAAGACGCTGGTTCCCTTAAAGACGTTTTTAAAGGCTTTGACCCCACAGCGTCCCCATTCTGCCAGTAGCACTCAGTCATTGTATTTAATGAGGCTGTATACAGTGTTGATAATAACGTATATATAATTTTTTTATACTCCTACTCCACCATGCTCATGCTAAATCTTTTGTATGAACCCACAACGTAAGTGAGCTGTAAAGCCTCAAAGATCTGTTTTTAACAAACAATCAGTGTCTCGTGTAGTGACTGACTCATTGTTTCTGTATATTATTTTAACTCTTATTTTGAAATGTATATATGTGTGTAGTGTATATACATACATTCTTACACATAGGTTTGTATATGTATAAATATCTATATCTACATACATATATGTGAGCAGTCAAGTGTGTATGTTTCTGTGCTGATCAAGCATTTTATTTAACTCCTCCAGTTGGAAGATGGTGTCCCGGTATTGTGGCATGCGTTGATTTGTTCTCAATGCACAGATCCTTCTGAAATGGCAGCTAATCATTAGCTTATTGCACCGAATTCTGGTCCCCTTCATATTATTCTCTGCCCCAAACAGCAGCCCACGTTAATCCATTCGTAGGATTGTAGAGGGATTTCCTGCAAATTGAAATTTATTACTGTATCCTTCTCGTTGACCATCAACCTTTTTTAGTGTTGGAAGAAGGTCACTCGTTCTGGACTCTTTGTAATTGTACATATGTTGTTTTTTTATTTTCTGGTCTTATATTTAATTTTTTTACCACATTCTGTATGTGCTGCAAGAACAAAACCAGCCTGTGGACAAGATTTTCAAAATAGAACTTATTTATAATTTAGAGAAGTGCGCCGTTCAAGTATTGTGAAAAGGAAAAGGTGTGTGTGTGTCCCACCACGTGTAAAGAAAAGTACAATGCCGACAGAACAGTTACAATAAATACTGACATTTCTGGAGATATCTCAGAATTTGCGCATTGTGCCAGTTCTTCAGTTGGCATCTGGCTATTGGTTATATTTATATCTTGTGTGTCACTCAGTTGCTGATTGCACAGAATTCTGCCTTTTTGTGTAATCCTGTTTCCACTAAACTGGTGTTTTTCAACCAAAGCCTAAAGTCTAAAGTATTACTAAAAAAAAATATATTAAAAAAACAAGACTAAATTTCTCGTACATTGATCTAAAGCAAGTTTCTCGGAATTAATGGCAGTAAACATGTAGTCCAATAACTACAAATGATCAGATACAGGCTGGTGTGTATATAAATGAGAATATTCTGGGAATAAAAATACATTTTCATACAGAACGGTCTGCAATCTCTTTTATGAGTTCTCTCCACGCAGTATGTGACCTAATTTGTTTTGTTTTTTTCCTTTCATATTCACTGCTCATAATGTATGTTTATATAGCTCCACGTATTCTGCACTACTGTACAATCGAGGTATTGCAGACAAATTAAACCCAATACAAAAGGGACAGAGGGACCGGCCCGAGCCATAATATAGAGCAAATGCCGTGCATTGGTATAAATCGCTTAACAAAATAGCAAACCGTTTATGCACCAAACTCGGAATTGTGTGGAAATTAGAAGAAAATTGCATGTTTTGGGTCATAGAATCTGAACATGAAAAAGATGGTTTTATTTATTTGTTTCTCTATTTTGGCATTATTTTCTCAATGAATCTTTTAATGACTGAAGCTGAAAGTATATCTGCCAAATGAACAAATGCTGTTGGAAACAATGTTATTCTCTGACCTCAGAATTCCCATGGCTTTCACAGGGTTTTTCACAAAAGTCCGTTTTTAGTCTCTCCTACTGGCTGATGTTGTCAGGGGAGGGGTTATTAACCCCTTCTGCACCACAGAGGGGGAAGCTATAGTGCCAGGCGTTTGTTTTCCTGGCTGGCACTATAGTTTCCCTTTAAGGCCAGAGTAGTTGAACAGGAAGCATGGCTCACTTGGAGAATTTTTCCAGTTAGCAAGTGAACCAAGTAATAAGTGTGGGGAAAAAGATATTGTCTATGGAGGCTCCTGTGGGATCCTCCATCGACCTCTGTGTTGTACAGCACAGAATGGCTCCTGGAAGATGTAACCAGTCACTTGGAGAGGATCCATTGACTTAAAATGATGGTGGCCTCAAGGTACAGCTTCAGAAAAGTTAAACTTACCATCCCCTGCAAATTATAGACCCCAGATGGTGACCGAGTTGGTTTAATATGAGGGTCTGAAGGAGCTCCTATCTAATAACCGAGACCTGCTTAATAGTCATCAGGTATCCTTTACAAACCATCAGTGAAGGAAATATACAACTTTATTCCCATTATTAAACCTGATGGAGATGTCGATTCACTGTGTGGGGAAAGTGTAATGTCTAATAAAGTGTATTTCAATTAATTTAAACTCATATCAAAGTGTTAGAGCAGTGCTCTGCGTACAGGCAACCTGTCATCTGGACCGGGCACACATGCATGTTGGCATAGGGTGGGTGTAACATCCATGATGCATTTAGTGTCGTTGACATGGCCATTCTAGTCCAGCGTCTCCCAATTTCACACCTGTCTAGATAAGTGGTCCAGATCTGTAATATCACGTTCAGGACAAATCTCAGAATTTGCTATTCCGTCTGCATCAATCATGCAATCCAGAGCACATTTTTGAGTTTAGTAAATAACTTTCACAACCATGTCAGACTACAGTAAAAGCTACTGGACTATTTATATTTTGAATAATTCAGGAGTTCTAGATGCCAAGTGTATGTACACACAACTCACTAAAGAGTTTCAAACTGCTGTCTCAACTGTTAGAATAATGTTTGTAGTGTTTGCTTCCCAACTTTGAAATATCAAGTTAAAATATTCACCGAAACTTGACTTAACTTGTATTTTACAGCCATGCCCAATGATAATCCAGATATTTCTGACATGTTTACCACTATGTACAGCGAGCTAGCATTCACATCATAGAAAATATGGCTTAGGGACTCCAGCTGTCTCCCCAGTGTGATGTTTAATTAAGTCGACTTTAAGCAAAAGCCTGCAGGGGGCAGTCACAATATTTTATGTTGTCAACATTTTGAAGGTGTTTTATGACTATTTCTGTATTTGGGTTCCTATCTGTCCCCTTGTAGCATGGTCCATTATGTAATCTAAGGTTGTAGCTGTGTGGCGATTTAAATAATTATCTATGCTAGAGAAAGCCTTACCAATATGAAATCAATATTACGTAGAGCCAGAATTTGTACTTGAAGTAGTAAATGCTACGCAGCAAGACAGCGTCAATGGCTTTATTTATTGCAAGAATTACCCAATTTAGACTAAAATAGCCAACTTGCGAACTGATGATAGGAGCCGCACTCAATCCCAGCAGCCACCCGGTGCTTCGGAGCAGGACCAGCAATCCCACAACCAAAAGGCAACAAAGAGATTCTACAGGATCTCAAAGTGTTAAAAGCCGCAGGCAGTTTCAATGTAAGAAAAAGAACAGCACCGGAGTCTTAGAAGGTCAAAATGTAGCTGTTTTTGTTTCATTAAATCTGCCTGAGGCTTTTAACACTTTGAGTGCCTGTAAAATAGCCAGATTGTGAATAGATTAGATTTGGATAAATGTTCCAAATCAGTAAAAAAAAATTGTTTTCTAATTCCCTTTAGTTAAATTTATTCAAAATTGCAAAAAGTCATATTTAATAAAATCTGTGAAAAGAGACATTTTTATTCCAACTATGCTGTTTTTACCACCTCTTTGCCCCTGGGTTGTCAGTTCACCTTAATTTACTATTTCGATGTGCAGTAAAATTATAAGCTGGAATAGTTTCATTTAAATGGTTAATTAGAATGTAATAGTGCGAATTTCACTTACCGTCTTATTTACTAAAGTGACAATTCAAGATGAATGTAAAATGTATGGCCCAAGGACTTTGACAATATTTCCATTTTGGCCTTAAATTTAGCAAATAACCCTGATTAAGGTGAATTTCAAATTTTAGACAAAAATAAGAGAAATGGAATCATAACTGACATTGTTTTATTATTCAATTATTGTGGCCGAAAATTTGACATCCATTTGTAAATCTCAACAATTCACACTTTTATAACGAAACTTGTAAAAGTCACATGTCGTGTTAACCCCTTAAGGACACATGACGGAAATATTCCATCGTGATTCTCTTTTATTCCAGAAGTTGTGTCCTTAAGGGGTTAAATATTAGTGTTTTTCCCAGGAAGCAGTAAATCAAAAATCAAATTGCAGAATGAAGCCCAAAGCTGCCGTTGCAGCCTAAATTTAGTGTTTTGCTTTAAAATTTACTACAATTTGATGTTTAGCCAAGAAACCTCCTTGTGTTTTGGAACAAAATGTAGCCATTGATAAAACTGTTCTTATTTATAAGCCGCAATATATTCTGCAGCGGTGTACGAAGGTTAAACAAAATATAGCAAAGCAATGACATGTAGTTATGGTCGCAGTTGTCACTCTGTACCACCACAAGATGTCAGTATGACTATTTTAGGTAATAAGTCAATGTTACTGTACATTTTTATATGGAGATTTCCTACGAAATGCATATTTTTACATTGTTTTATATGAATTTTTAGCTAGATTTAGGTTTTATTATTCATCTGAAATTGGTAAGATTTTATTTTGAAAATAGCTAATTTTAGCTTGTGTTTGTCAATTCCTCGCTGTAATGTTTATCCCAATGTATGTTTGTACCATGCTGTGGAATGTAGTAATGCTATAACATGCTAATTTCAATTCAACCCCAAATTATGGGATTACTGAAGTAGGGTGAAATAACAGAATTTTAACAGGATTTAACTCCATTTATCAAATCTAAAGCATTTTTATTAAGGTATGTATCACATTCTTAAAGGAACAATGTAGTCTTAGGATACAAGCCTCTATTTTCAAACGCTCTGCGTCCGGTAATGTCATCATGGAAGCTTGGTTCGCAATACGTATCCAATCATCTTCCTATAGAAATATATTCAATTCAGTGTCTTCCTTTGAGCTGCATTTGATCACGTCACATTACATATTTTCAGTGTTCTTGCAGTGAAAGTGCCTTTAGTGGATGTCTGTGTAACAGCTACTAGATGTGTGTTTAATATAAATATTGTAGTTACTACAAAACGGCAATGTTTTACATTGAAGGGTTAAAACTATAGAGCCACTCCATGCAGACCACCTCATTGAGATTAAGCGGTCTGGGTGCATTTACTCTTCCCCTAACTCAAGACCGCTTTTGCAGTTTCTGTGATGGACCACTAGGGGTACAATTCAGTTTTGAATGCAGTTGTAATTCTGGGATTAAATTTTCACTCTGCTTGTTGTACAGCAGGGGTGGTTGAAGGGATTTACTTTACAGATGGCACCGTCAATTCACTAGAAGTTTAATGAAACATTAAAAGAGACCTATAAATTGTATTAACCTTATTTTTATTTATTTATTTATTTATTCATGCAATGTTGTTTTTCTTTTTGTTTTGTATCAGCGATTTAGTACTTGAGATCACTATACAGTTCAGTCAAGGCACATGGTGTTTCAGATTGTCCTCTTTATGCTGATTGTGTAAAAGGCAGAGTTTAGAGCAGTGGCGAGATCAGAACAGCACTGATTTACCCAATAAAGCAGATTTCTACTGTCTATATACAGGCATGTTTATGGACAAATCTAGACTTAACCATTTCTCAGGAACAGCATTGTTGTTTGTTTGTTCAGGAAAAGTTGTGGTTTTGGTGCTTAGAGAATCCCTTTAAATGCTGTAACTGCAGATTTCAGTAGACGTCTGAAATACAACTTAACTGTCCCCGTATGAGGGTTAGTAAGTCTCATTCAATGTGAGCCCCAGGCTTTCAGCAAACCTCTTGGTTTGGGAAGAACTCACTGCAAATCCTGAGAGGTTTCAGCAACCTCAGTAACATCAAAAGTGAGTTTTAAATTATACTTAGTTATGTTTGCATTTTGTATTCTACAAACATGAGCTCAGATGTAACCTACAATGTCCCTTTAATCCAATTTATTTCTACTTAAAATTCTGGCTCAATGGATTTTATTGTGGAAACAGAATTTTATCGAATTGAAAAGCAAAGTATAAAACTCAGGTGAAGAAAGATAAGCTGTGATTATAGCTGACTTAAAAAATGTTTTTTTTTAAACCAGCCATTTTGGCCTGAATTTTTGGATTTTTCAGTTCACGGGAAATCACGGTTTAATAAATATCACTAATCCTTCAAACAATAATGTGACTAATAAGCTTTCTAAAATTCCTGTAAATTATCTTTAAACTATCACAGGCTAATACTTTGTCC